GGGGCGGGGAGGGTTGGGGGAGGGAAGTGGCTCATTTCTTCTAATGAAAATGCCACTTTTGGAAAATAATGGATGTATCACTGGCTTGGGAAAGCATTCCAGTCCAATGGACGCATTAGAATGTGTAAGAGTAGCAGTTACCATTGGACTGAAATAACATCTGAACCACCAGCTAAACACTATTATCCTTGAAAACATGTCTTTTTTGTATTTTATGTGCTGTGCATGACACATGTAGGTAAAATTTTTAAGGTTCATGAAAACCAGATCTATGTCCTTTGTAAGAGTGTTATCACAGTATTCCAGCAAAAAATTTCTCTTCGATATTGTATTCTGCAGTTATAGTCCACTTAAATTTGAGATTTAGAGGAGAATGCTGGAGAAAATATATCTTCTGTTTTCTTTGTATCTAGAATTGAGGACATTTTTGTTATGATAAAACTAATTTGGATCCTTTCCCTAGCTGATATTTTCAATTAATAGCTCAGTTCTTAAATTAGGAATGGTTACAAGCTGTTACTGAAAAGGAATTGATTAAAAAAATAACATTCCTTTAGCACCATTCACTGGTAGGAGAAGGCTGGGGTGACATGAGAAAATGATAGCATTTGTTACCTCATCTGGAAAGTCACAAATGGTATAAATTGGTGGTTTTCCTTTTTATCCTAGAATGTTTTTTCAAACATTCCTTTATATTTTATTATTTTTGCGTAGAAACTAGAAATACTCATTTGAAATATTTGAAACTTGCAAATACCCTTCTTGTTTGGTGGTGTTCTTTTTCCACCATTCACTGACTATCTCCAAATTTGTACAGAGGCATGGCAATATAAATGATTTTCATCAGCAAGACATAACTAAGTAGTTTAAACTTCTAATGTTTTGCTTGGGGATAGGAAGAAATAGGACATCAAAGAAATGTTTCACTCAACTGTTTTTGGAATGAATATGTTAATATTTTTATGCATTTCAGATATGTTTTATTGAAAATATGCAATTATGTTAAAATAACTTGGAAGAATTTTGTCACAGAATTTAGGCTGGCTGTTTGTCAGCCATCTCCTTTTTAAGTAAAGGACACAAACACAGATGTACTATTACACAGATCATTATAAATTTGCTTAAAATTTCCACTGTCTAGTACCAGAAATGATTTAGTTTGGCTTGTCCAAAGAATGTAGGCCTTGAAGGAGGAAAGCTTTTTACCCTCCGAATGGTAATGAGTAATTTCCCCGAGCAATTTTGATTTTGCTGATCTCTGCATATTTAAATATACGTATGACAATTTCTTGAAGTTATAACATGGGCAAAGATAGTTCATTGACAGAAATTGATTATTTGGGGGATTGAATTAGGTGTTGTGATGGCAATAGAAGCAGATTTTCTTTTATATTTGTTATATCTTACTCTATCTTACAGGGTCAAGAGAAGTATGGGTTACTGAATGTGACAAAAATTACAGAAAATGGGAAGAAAGTTCGGTAAGTCTTGGACTTCTAGAAGTACCTGTGCATAAGGGTTTGTGTAAGGTACCTGACTTTTATATTAGGACAGCATACCGGGTTTTACAGTTTCTTACTTTTTGTCTGGATTTGCCTTGGAGGTTTTCCTGTAGGACACAGCGTTTCCTTATCCCAAAGTATGTGTTTCTCCCAGTGAGCTAAAGGTAATGGACTTCAGAGAGCCAGAGGCTCTTGTATGCCAGGGCTCCACACAGGGCAGTGATTTCATGAAGGTGTACGGATGAGACACAGCTTTTTAAAATGGGATTGATTTATTTATTTAAGAGAAAATCTGTATAGTTTATAGCCTGTCTTGTTCCTTGGATAAATTGGTGTAAGAGGGGCTTTCAGACTTACACTTCATCTCCTTTAATTTCCAAGGAGTGTACATGTCATGTACTCCCTAATTCTTCCTCTGCTCTACTTGTGAAGGGTTTGAAGAGGATGTATTGCCCAGTGTTGGTTGCCCTGTAGGTGATGAATGACCTAATTTCTAACTTTCTTTCTCTGCCTCACAGGCAGGCATTTACATTATAAATCATAATGTATAATCAAGTAATGCTGTCTTAACTTACATTTCTGGTGTTCTGCAAAGAGTCAGTGTTAAATACTGCATAAGTGTGGCACATACTCAGATTATTATAATTTAGGTTTACTTTTTACTTAAAAAAACCTTTAATTTTTTAAACATAATCTTTTAGGTCTAATACTGTGTTATATCTAGTTCAGTGTTTCCCAGACTTTTGATGCATGAAGCATGTTTTTCCTGAGGATTAAATAGTCAGCACCCAGTTGATATTCCAGAGCCACCCTGACCTAGTCCAGTGCAGCTGGGCAGCACATCTGACCCCCAGTTTTGTTCCTCAGGGCTGTTCCTAAGAGCTTGGTGGGAAAAAGTGGACAGTGGCTCACGTAAGCTGCTACTGGTAGAGTATACTCTCACCATTTATGTTGCATCTGTTGGAATCGTTGATCTGGATTACTGGGCTGCTGTACAGGAAGATGCAACATGGCCATCCTGTCATTTTGAGAGCTGTTGAATAATTAATGTTTGGGCAATGGCAATAGCTTGTCAGGGCTTGTCAAGACTTTTATTTTTCTAACCTCAGGAGGACAGGTACTCAGGCATAAAAGCAAAGAGTCAGACAGCTGGAACAACTCATTTGTTCTTTTTCTGCATTTTTTAGATGTGTAGCAACTATTTTATTACCAATGTAAATGAGCTTATTACATAAACGTGGGACACTTGCCTCCCAGTTAGATGTGATCAATCAATTTCAGAATTACACAGTACTTTGGCATAATCTACTAAGTACACAGTAGGGTGAGTGTTCCAGATTAGCCCCTTTGAAATTATAATTGTATGGTGTTTCTCCTGGTGAACTGCTTCCACTACTAATTAGCTTTGTTTGATTTAGACTTTGATGGTCAGCCTGGGACTGTTAACGTATGTTCCCTTCTACAAATATGATAGCAATTAAGACTTACTGATGGCACTAATGACTGTATGTATGGTTAAGTATATTAACATGCAAATCAGCTGGGCAACAATGATTGATGGTTTAGATATCTACTTTCAAAGTCAATTTATCTTATGTTTGTTTATAAATTATTACAGAAAGAATTGGATGTCATCATGGGCAGTGCTACAAGGTTCATCACTGCTGTTCACTAAAACCCAAGGAAGTGGAACTGGCTGGGTAAGCTCAGGAACAGCCGCCACCCTCATTTCAGTGTTAATCACGTAAAGCACAATAAATTAAAGCCCTCTTATTTGTAGGGCTTAAATACCAGTATGCATACATAATTTAGGAAAAAATAAGTGTGTGTAAGTTAGCAGGAAAACAGTTTAATGTAACAATTATGATGTAGAATGAGAAGAAAACCAGTTGTACTTTCTTATATTTCAGAAACATTTTTCTATTTGATAAGTAAGAAACTGATAAAGAGGTATTCAGGTGCCCTGTAAGCTTGAAGTTTTTGCTCCAGGCCAAATGTTTTTGTGTTCCTTACTCATGTGTTTGTCTAAACAGTTTATCTGTTTTACTGTTCTTGGATATTTTTCATAAACGCCAGGTAATTTTGAATGTGATACATGTAATAAAGAAAATAGTCTGACACTTGGTTTGTTGTATTGGACTAACTGAATAATGTAGTATTGTTGCCTTATTTAGTCTTTGCTTTACTGGATTCCATATTTTGGTTTATATCTGCATGACAAGTATTTGTATATCTTCTGATGTCTGATGAAGACCTAAAGAGAAACAGCACCCTGAAGATGAGGATATAAAAATTGAATAATCATATCTAGTTTAATAGCACTATAATTAAATTGGCTATATTTATCCAGCTGCATTCCTACATTAATAGGTATAGATATGGTTCTTTATCTACGGCTTACTTGCCTACTTTTGGAGGTCTGACATTAAACTGTGTGGATCTCCTATAATAACTAAAGAGAGGTCGGATTCAGTATTCGTTACTCCAGTGTATTATCACAGGAATTCCAGCAAAATTGCATGTTACAGATGTATGCTATCTTGCTGTGCTTTGCTCATCTTTCTACTTGGCTCACTTTCTCCTGCTGCAGTTCTTTCTGGGTAGTGGATTGGTATTGACAATTCTTTTCTAAAGCTTGGAGTTAATTTCAGAGCTGTAAACTTTGGGTTTTTTTGCCCTTCTGTTGCTGTAGAAGGGGTGGTTGGAAGAAAATGGGTGAGGAAGGATAAATAACAACGTTGGGGGTAGAAGAGATTGGAAAGAATCAAGTTGGGCAAGATGGTCAAGCAGAAGGAAAAGAGAAGGGAAGGAAAAAGAATAAAGATTAAAGGCATGATATCTCAAGGTAAATTACTCTGCCTAGTAGGAAGTGGACTTGGTGACCTAAGGCAGTCTGCCCACACTGCCCTGTGGGGAGGGGAAGAGAACGTGATGTGCTTCAGAGACAAAGCACAGAAAAAGGAATAGGAACATGTATATATCTGAAGTTACTGACTTTCCCACCTGTAAACATAGGGACACTAGGTAATTATAATTACCATTATTCATCAGTGAGAAAAATATTGCCAGTAAGAAAATGAACAGAACTTGTGAATATTTTTTAATATAACTTTTATAACAATGTTGAAGAAATACTGAAGAACCTTAAAAGGTGAGCTTTGAAGCAGGAAGTACTGGCATTTGGAAGGTTTTAAAACTCATTCCCTTACCTTCCTTCATGCCCTTTAGTCATTGTCTATTGTTTAGTCAAGTTCAATTTCATTGCCCTACTTCGTAAAATGGAAAATTCCTAGCCATTCTGAGGTGAGCTTTGCTATTTAGTCTCAGTGTACAAAGAATACTACTATTTTTACAGCACACTAATATTGATGATGGAAACTGATAACTTTTGTGATTTACTTTTATAGCTAAGGATCCAAAAAGTACTTTAATTTTATAGGTACAAATATGCATGTTTGGAAAGTAAAACATTTTGCCTGAGTAATTAATCAAGTTCCAAAAGCTCTATTATAGCTACTAATACTCTTAATCCAAATGTAGCTGGAGATCAAAAACCCCATTTTTAACTGTATGTTGATATCATTAAAATACATTGTGCTAAACTAAGTTACTATTTATGAATATATGATACTGTTATGAATGAATGTGTGCCCAAATGAAATATCCATAAAAGATGGTCATGCAACTTGCCTTATTGCTTAGGGATACTAGTATAAGTTGTGTTATACTTTCCAAATACAGTCATTTGGTGGGGAAAAAAAAAGGCATAAATTCTTTTGATAATTTAAGTGGAGCAAAAGTATCATAGTCACCATATTTCTGTGTGAGACCGTCAGGTACATGTACTGTCAAGTATTGGAGTAGGGTCAGCAAAACAAATATCAACAGTATGAACAGAATAAAGTGAAGCTGGAAATATTAAGGGAGAATGTCTTTCAAAGACTTTGTATACCTGCATGCTCGCAGTTGGCTTTGTAAATACATAATTAAATATTCAGCACAGGCTCTTTTTGCTCTCTGTGTAGGAAATTTTTTTGGGGTCTTAAAAATTCCACCTCACTTCCCCAATGCTGATCTGTATCAGTATTTTAATAAGGTCAAGTTGTCTAACAGTTTGACATACGATAAGAATTACATTTCTTCATCTTATGAGAAGAATATTTGTTTAGCATTTGTCTAGTGATTGATATAACCATATCTTTTTTTGTGCATTGTTTTGTGACTTCATCACTTTTCTTCCTTTTTTTCATCAAGTCATTTTGCCAAGGGGGCTCAATTCCTGAGCTCTTGCTCTCGCTGCTTTCTTCTTGGAAAAATGTTCTCAGTCGTCGACCTGCTGTCACCTATGTAAACTCTGACCAAGTTTCAGCTATCACTGTATGTGTTCTTGTTGCATGCCTCTTGTCTTGGCTGTTTGCCACTAATCTTGAATGTAAATTTGAATTTTTCCAAGGTTTAAGTTTTGTCACTTCATATAACACCTTGCGTATCCTGTTTGCTGTTTTCTGAAAGTCATCCAAGGTGCACATTAACATATGTGTATTGCAATAATCCTGTAATTGTTCTAATAGAACAAAGTAGAAAGAGTATCTGGTTCATCAGTGCCGGAATTATAATCCCAGATTTGCCTATTACTTGAACCACTAGTGTCTTGACTAATGAACAGCATGACATAGTCAGTTTTTTAACAGATACTTTATGTCTAATTCTTTCTAACACAGCTAATTTAGGATGTTTGTAAGGTGCCTATGATGCCTTTGATACAATGATGTACATGTTGTTGGTTAATTCTAGCTATAATTGCAACACCCGAAAATGTAAATGTTACGCATAAAAAGCTGAAAGGAAAAGAGCTCAAGGATGTTCTGGCTATATGCCACATACAGAAAGCTGATGTAAATTTGTAGGACTCTCTATATAAAATTTAAGCATCTGTGGTTAGTCACGTTTTGAAGTGTAGATGCCAAGCATAGAAATGTTACTTACCAGAAACTGATAAAATGTTGGTAGCTAATGTGATAGCTTGTTGCTCAAGATGGAAGAGGAGGAATTTAGATAATGATACTAGTGTTAGAAGAAACAAACAGGCTTGGCTGGTTGTATAATTGTTTTTTAATATCCCTTTCTTAGCACTCTTATCAGAATGAAACTGAAGCTTTCATGGAAAAAATCATACACTGAAGACATTATTGATACATTGGTTTCAATTTGACTTCTTGAGGATTTTAAAGTGTTGGTGATGTTTAAAACTGTTTCGGTATTTTGGCTTGCATTTCCTGAAGAATGGAGAGCGAGCTGTATGTTTTGAGTTTAGTTAAGATTCCTGAGACTTCTAGAATGAGCGTTTTGATGACCAGTACCTCCCCCCCATCCCCGTCCCATAGTGGGGAGTAACTGTAGGCTTATTCAATTAACCTTGTGCCTTTTCTTTGTCTGTCAAATTCATTGCTATGTATGTGGAAGCCTGGTACACATAATCTGTACACAGTTTGGTACCCTTTAAAATGCTACTTTCTATAAGGAAAGCAGGATTTTTTTAATATGTCTTTTCACAGAAATTTATTTTCAGCTCTTGAAAGAAGGTGTGTCTCAACTTTTGGTGTGAATGAGTTGTAATAGCTACTGCCAAATTTTAGCAATGGGGCTTCATAAAACACAGCAAATGGTAACTGCTTAGAAAGATTAATCTGTCAGCCTTCTGTAATAGGTGCATGTCCATCCTCAGTGTCAAATACAAGGCTGGTAAACTGAAAGTGGGTAAACTTCTCAAATGTCAAGGAAATAAATGCTTTTCAAGGTTCATCTGGGCAAATTTTTATTTACTGTGTTATACCACTGTGTTTATAGCCAAGGATGTTATATGTACATTACTACAGTTCATCAGTATTGCACAGCTAATTATACAGGAGCTCAGATGATTATCATGAAAACTATTTGGAATGCAAATACTCCTGTCAGAGTCTGGCTTCAAAAAACTTCCATTATTTGGCTATGACAATAAAGAATATCTTTCATATTTTTCTTTTTTTGTTAAACATGTAAGTTCTGAAGCTCCCTTACCAGCCACAAAGGAACATCTGTCCCCTCAGCTCTATTTCCGCAGTCCTTGTGCAGCTGAGGAGGACTTTGGAATGAAAACTTTCTACCCAACTCTAATCAGAAACAGAATTACGAGAATGGCAGGTGTCATTTGTACATTCAAAGTCTTCCCATAAATAACATCCAGTTCTGTTTCCAAAAAATGCTGGAATATTATCACAATACAGATTTTATGGCTTGTCCTGTGGAGGCTTCCAGGACTTGGAGAAGACTCCTGAAAAGATTGAAAAGGCCTTCTTTTTAGTGATGTCAGCACACATCTTCAAGGTAGTCATTAAGCTACACAGCATCTACTATGTCTGAACTAACTCTCCCCCCATTGTTTTGAAAAAGCAGAAGTTACCTCTGCCATAGAAATATAAGCACATTCCATGGCTACACTTCTTTCTAGAAAAAGCTGTCAGAAGTGACTCTAGGACAGCTGGCAGTGACATGTATAGACCTCTCCCACTTTCTGTCTCACACCGCTATCCTTTCTAAACTTCCCAAACAGCTCAAAGGAGAAATCCAGTAAGAATAAGGTGTCTGCTGAGTAAGAATTGAATTTATCCTGACTGGTGCTGACTTGGCAGTGCACTCTGTTTTGAGAAAGCAGACTTTATGTCTAGGTGGCAGCAGAAGCTAAAGGGAAAGGTTTTCTTTTTACTGCTAGCAACAAAACCTACATCCTTTCAGTATGGTTCAATTGCCTTTAGCTAACCTGTGCATGCAGAGCATCTGAACAGCCCTGTACAGGACTTGCTCCTGGAAGCTTTCAAGGAGGGCAATGGCTGCTAGCATCTCATTTTCATACATCCAGGAGCAGAAGAGAACCTTGACAGGAATGCTCATAGGAGAGACTGCATGCTAAACCTAGAATTTCCTTGAACAAAGTAGTTAAGTTTGTGATGAGTATATAATACATTGGTATATCGGAGGAGCTTTGCAGAGAGGCTCAAGATGTTTGCATGGGTTTCCCCATCCTTGGATCTCACACAGCGGTTTGGGCACTGCTTGTGTGGAAAAGTGGGGGAAGGCTTCTTTTTTCCCCTCTGAGAAATTTAGCTTCTAGTTTTTGGTTTGTTCTGTGCTTCTCTGAAATGCTGGAGGGAGTCAGGCTAAAAACATGGGTAGAGTGCAAAGGTGTTTGAGGTAGTACTGCGATCTGTCAGGTGGGGAGTTCAGCAAGCTAATGTATTGGAGGGCTTTCCTTTTGGTCAAAACAGCAGTGACTCTTACATTTTTTTTGTTTGATTTCATCTGTAGCAGGTCATCTCCTGTGCTTCTCGGCATCATCTGGACGGTGTTTTTAACAAATCCCCTCTGATCCTGCAGTGACTTTGGCACTAGTCTGCTTTCTGCAGTGCCAGAAACTCTATAAATTGATTTATTTTTTTTTTTTTTTTTTATTTCCCTCCCTCCAAACACACAGCAAGATTGTTCTAGGCTGTCAGGAAGCATGTGGCTGGGGCACTTTGGTTGTACATGAAGCAGCTATGTGAATCTCTCTTAAATAGGCAGCTGCTGCACAGCAGCCCACAACTCCAAGAGCCATAATGGCCCAGAGATTGTTCCTGTTCCTGTGGACTCCACTGCTGAGCTGGGCCTCTCTCAAAAACTCTGCTATAATTAATAAGAAATGTTCTTGGATGAGCTGTATGAGAATTAAGTTAGAAAGCAGAAGCTTTTGGTTTGCTTTTTTTTTTTTTTCCCCAAGTGCTAGTTGGCATTGGGTAAATTAGAAATATTCCCCTATTCTGATATTTCATGGGTAAAATAAAGAAGTAAAGATTCTACTTTCCATTCAGCACTTAATTGCCCTTAGGACTCAAGGCGGGGAGATTTTCCAGTGGTAAACAGCCTTTCTAAAACACAATTAGCATTAATTAACATCCATGCTGGGAATTTAATCAGAAGCAGCAGATTAGTTCTGTTTTCTGAACCGTTTTTTCTCCCCTTGGATATGGCTGTACAGGCTGGAAACTCGTGTTCGCAGCAAGGAGCTTGTCCTGGGGCTTATGTTCCCCAGAGCTGTCACACGAACAGCATTCGCACATCAAAGACTTTTTAAAGAAATAGAAAAGAACCTTTCTGATGGATCAGATGCGACAAGCTTCCCCTAGAACTACAGCATTAAATTTCTGTGCTACAACCAAGTGACTTACAGCTTTCCATGTTCCGTGTTTTACTTATTTTACTCACAATTAGAGCTTTTTGTTTGTATGGGTTGCTGAATGGGTTTCCTTGAGGAATGATATTTCAAAGCTATATAGTGTAGGTTGAAACCCTAGTAATAAAAAATTGTGATACCTAGTATAAATGTAAAAGTAGTAGGTAAAAATAGCTCCCAGATGTTTTCCTCCAAGTTGTTTGAAGGGTTACTTGTGGTTTAAATGCTTTTTTTTATCACTTCGGTTATTTGCTGTTTGTTTAGTAGCTAGACAGTGAAATTGAGTTCTGTTTACTTGTTAGGATATGCTCCAGTATTGCAATAGAAGTACTACAGAAAAATATGAAATAACGTGAAAAGCATTGTTGGAAATTTTTTTTCTATATATCTATCTATACACCTATACATGAAATATATATATTACAAAAATGTAAAAACTGAAAGTGATTCCTATCTAGCAAAGCTACTATTTCTGGTTTGATTTTTGGTTTTATATAACTGAATGTTGGTGGGTGGGGTTTTTTCCTTTTTTTTTTTTTTTGTTTTTGTTCAGTTACTTGTTAGCCAGTTTTGTTTAAAGCTTGAGACTATTTGACTAAAATGAAGCTACAATCAAATGCTGTATGAACTTCTACCATTTGTCATAGGGGAAAAAGGCTCTGCTGGAATCTGGTTGGCATTTGAAGTTATGGAATTTTAAGGGCTTTAAGCTGAGCAGCTTTTAATAGGCATGATTAAAGGGTGTTTTGTGTGTAGTTTGTTTGGTTTTTGTCTTCCTGGTATCATGCCTGTTGATTCGTGGCAAAGTACTGTCTTTGGGTTAAGTTGTGTAGACTGTTGTCGTGGTTTAGCCCCAGCCAGCAACTCAGCACCACGCAGCCGCTCGCTCACTCCCCCTACCCCGGTGGGATGGCGGAGAGAATCGGAGGAGTAAGAGTGAGAAACACTCCTGGGTTGAGATAAGAACAGTTTAATAATTGAAATAAAGTAAAATAGTAATGATAATAATAACAATATAATAATGATGATAATAATAATAACAACAATATACAAAGCAAGTGATGCACAATGCAGTTGCTCACCACCCGCCGACCAATACCCAGACAGTTCCCGAGCAGCGATCGCTGCTCCCCGGCCAACCCCCCCCAGTTTCTATACTGAGCATGATGTCATATGGTATGGAATAGCCCTTTGGTCAGTTTGGGTCAACTATTCTGGCTGTGCCCCCTCCCAGTTCCTTGTGCACCTGGCAGAGCATGGAAGCTGAAAAGTCCTTGACTAGCATAAGCAGTACTCAGCAACAACTAAAACATCAGTGTGTTATCAACATTCTTCTCCTACTAAATCCAAAACACAGCAGTATGCCTGCTACTAGGAAGAAAATTAACTCTATCCCAGCCGAAACCAGGACAACTGTAAATAATGTATGTTGTATTTAGAGGATTGCAAGACTGTGTACCTGTTAGGAGTTTCTTTTGTTTTTAAGTTTTTCATCATTTTTCCTTCTTTTCTAGAAGTTTGGTGGCAATCAGTCTAAGCCAGAATTTACAGTGGATCTCAAAGGAGCATTGATTGACTGGGCCTCAAAGGACAAATCCAGCAAAAAGAATGTTATTGAGGTGAATTATTTTATTTAAATGCAGAATTATATGTACTTCAATTAATGACTTAAGAAATTTCTATAAACTTAAAATCAAATATTTTAATTGAGTTTTCTACATTTCTTCCTGCTCAAATGTAGACATATCTTAGTACCTGCAAGAAACATCCATTTTTAATATGTCTGTATGGGATAGGCTTTTAAACTTTAAGCAGACTGTTATTTACTGTTTTCACTGGTAAGTGTTCTTGAGTGGCTGTATATTAGCTAAAAGTTATGCCAGGGAGAAGTTTAGTTTGATTTAGGTAATTTTGCTTTTGAATTCTAATGTGTTTATCAATTCTGATGATACCTGGTTTTATTTCTTTATAGCTAAAAACCCGCCAAGGAACTGAGCTCTTAATTCAGTCTGATAATGACAGCTTTATTAATGAATGGTATAAAGTTCTTAACTATACCATCAACAATCAGGTATGTGTTTGAATAGTGAAGGCTCTATTTTCAGGGTAATGTTACTTAGAAAAATAATTGATGTAACTACTCCTAGCGCTTCACGTACATCTTCATTTCCTGATTTTCTTGGGCGTGGACAGGAGGTTGAGGACATGGCAGTTTGTGGTGGTGACAAGTTAAATATAATTAATAGTGGCAATGGAAGCAGGATGGTCCATTGGATTAAGAACCAGGAGATGTGGGCTGACCTTCAGCTCAGAAGTGAGCTTCCTTCTGTGGCCAAATACTTGTTCTGTCTCAGTGACCTGAAAGGTTCTGATAGAGAGGGAGTAAAGAGGGAAGGATGGCTAAGGGAGTGCTTCATGACACACCTTAATCAGCATTTGATACTGCTATTCACTTAAGGCTGCACTACAATGCAAATTAAAAGCCCTGGCAAAATACTGTATTATCTCTTCTTATCAGACAGCATAATGCCAACTATTTGATCAACAGAAGAGTGTTCAAGCATTTGCTCTTGATGTTGCCAAACAAGATTTACCATCTTTGAATTCAGAAGAAGCTGGAGGAGATCTTGGAGAAAATACTCGTCTCATCAAGTTGACTTCATGTGTATTCTTAATTTTTATAGTTACAAGCCTGGCTGGTGCCCATAAGCTGCATTTATATTGCTTTTGATGTCAGTCAGTGGCTTTCATTTCTCTTAGCTCTGACAGTGTTTTCCATATATGGGTGTTTTCCACCTAAACACAGCAGGCTGATATGAATGGTTTCGTTTCTTTCTGAGCACTCATGGTTTAGGCTCCTAATCTTCTGCTCTCTCCTGGTATGAAAATGTCATGACCCTTAATAACCAGGCAAGGCAATTCAGCAATACCCTTCTCCTGTCTGCCCCGTGTAACGCAACTGAGGCCACTTCTTCTCTGCTTAAATATAAACAAAGATGGAAAAGCTGAGATATAGCTGAGATGAGTGAGGTATTACATGTTAGGCTGAGAAGTGAGTGGTGGAATAGGGAGAGTTTATCACCACTCTGGAGCAAATGGTGATGTATTACTGCTGGGAGCTGGTAGCCAAGAGACCTAAAATTACAAGGGAAAAGTTCAAAATGTACATGATTACACTGCCTGATTACTTGGAGCACTGAAGCTTTGGCTACAAAAATCCATCAGATCTGAAGCAAACTTCTAATTTTGAGATCTTCCTCAAAAGAAGGTGCAGCTTAGATTCTGGTCTCTGCTCCTTCAGGCTGCTGTTGTGACAATATGCTGTACAAGAGGAATAGCCATCTGTGAAGGATGTGGCTGCTCTTGTTTACATACAGAAATTTCCAAGTTATTAGACTAGAGTTGTTCCATAATACAAACTAGATTCCGGGTGATTTTTGCAAAGCAATTCATGTGTTTTAAATTTAACAGTCCCAAAAAGCTTTGAGACCTCTTGAAGAGAGCACTGTCCAAATGGTCTTGGTGGCAGAGGGATCCTTAGTGGGGATGTTAATCAGGCAGTTGAATATATTGATCTTTGATATGTAAAAATGCTATCCAAAGCTTTTAAAAAGCAACAGGGAATGAGGATTTTTTTAAAGCTAACGTTAGCGCTTCAAGTTAAAGTGCAGCTTAGTTGATGAAGTCGTGATTCTGCTCATTCAGCGCTCTGGAGTACGCAACCTTGCCACCTTTTTTTAAAATGTCCTTCCTTGTAACAAAAGACACTGTACTGTCAGATTTTTGTAACTGCATAGAAGTCAAGTTCACTTTAGAAGAAGTGAAGTAAGAAATACACAGTTTTGGAAGGGAGTATGTTGCACTGAGACCAGAGGAGGTTTCTTTTCCTATTTACTGATATGTCTGAAGTGTAGCATAGCTATGAGACTGCAGGTGGGCACTTTCACAGACTCTGCTATGTGCCTCCATGCTACATGATCTACATTTTCTTTTGACTCTGTTTATGAGAATATGCTGAGAGCGCAATAACACAGGGCAAGGATTTTAGGCCCTGCTATATTTACTTTCTCAGACTGAATTCAGTGTATGTTTTGACATTGCTGAAATTTTCCAACTGGTAATTATATTTTCTGTCACAGAAAATTCTAATTACAGAAATTAGAAATAGGGTAAATGCTCTAGAAGTGTTTTGTAGACCCTGTTAATCAGGTGCTTTCGTAGCAGACCATGTAAATAAAATAGCTGATGTTTGTCTACTGGATTTAAAAAAACTTTAATATTGTTTATTGGTTGATGTAATGAAGTTTTATCATGAAAGGCTGGTAGTACTTTGTTCAGTGTCCAGCAAAACTTTCTTTATTGGGTCTTATGATCAAATAGTGTTTCTCAAAGTTATTCACCCTGCCAGTGAGAATGGTGTTATCTCTGAAGGTATTTTTAGCATGTAGAGTTCAGGAAAGAACCAACTGAGTATCATTATAGGGGAATAAATGTATATTATAGAACTGTCTACAGGAGATGTGTTTGTTAATGCTATATTCTATGAATTGATAAACTAACCACTGTATCTTCTTAAATCTAATAGGTAGTGGAGTCTGATGAAGCATTAGAAGATGATGTACCAGATTCCCCTGGGGTAGAAAAACAAGACAAAGAGAAAGAGAATAAAGACTCTAAGAAACTTCGTCGTGAGTTGAAAGTTTTCCATTAATTGATTTTAGCAATGCCAATTTCTTTTTTTTTTTTTTTTTTTGCATCCTCGGTATTATGTGTAAATAGAGAAGAATTCAAAAGGACGGTTAAAAATTAAACTACTCAAGTTTGGAAACAGGCTTTGATATAGTTCATTCTACATCTTGGTGCTTGTTAGTAAGTTTTCATCCATGTTTTATTAACCATACTTTAAAAAAAAAAAGGTGAAAAGAAAAAAAGCACCAAATGTCTTTAGCTCCTGCTGTATGACACATGAAAAATGGGAGAAAATAGTCAGTAGTCAAATGGATTCTTTTCAAGCTATTGTCAAATGTACTGAAGTAATTAGACTTTCTTTTTTCTCTGACTTTTTATAAATACTTTTGCATAAGCATCCTTTTGTCCTTTTGCATGTTCAAAACTGATTAGAATTGTTTTATTTCGTTTTTGTCTGTGGTACAGCATCTGTAAATATTTGCACTGTTAACTTAAACTGCAATTTCGCTAAGTTGCTAGTGAGGTTATATTGGCTTGTTTAGAGAAACTGAACATTTTTAATTACACCTTCAGGATTTGAGTTAAATTTCTTTTAGCTACAGAAATTTCTTCCTACGCAGAGAAATATATTAATCAGGCACACTATTTTCTGTCTTTTACTTCTGGGCCTTATATATAATTTGTAAGAAAGTATTTATTTCTTCTAAAATAGTTAAATTAATGAAAGACAGGACTGGTTTTGAAACTTAGCTATATTTTTTAAATTCCACATCAATTACATACATAAGCTACCATTTAGTTAGTTTCACAAGCAAACTTGGTTTTACAAGTTTTTTTGTGACAGGGTTGTCTCTTCATGGTTTGAAAAATGGATGCTATTTACAAGGAGTTCCAAAAAGTTAAGGAAAAAAATTTGGATGCAATGCAAATTTGAGTAGGTTTTTTTAATGTGGTTTTGAGCTTAATATTTTTTTTTATGTTGGTTCCTGGCAGATAAATGCAGTGTTGGTTTTGTGGATATTCATGCTAAATGTCTTTCTCCTTTCAGCCATGAAAGCACCTAGCAATATAGATTCTACAGATCAGAAAAAGACCAAAACAAAGCTCAAGAAGTTTCTTACACGGCGCCCTACATTACAAGCTGTCCGTGAAAAAGGCTACATTAAGGGTAAATGAACCTTTTTAACAAAGGAAATAATTTGAAAAGCTGAATTTAGTAGTTCATGTGTAAAATGGGGTTAAAATGGTCCAGTTTTAAAGTAAAACACGTGTATATAACTGGCTTAACAAAAGTCTTGGATGTATAGTGGAACTGGTGATTGATTGTCATTCTTCTGAGCACTGCTACTAGCCACTAAACTTCACAGAGGTTGTCCTCTCCTTCAGCTCATTACTGACAAAATTTCAGTGAAAATTGAGGGCCCAGGAGCCTGTTGGGCTAGGAGTGCTTCTTAGCTAGAGTGTGCATTTGGTCTGCTGTTCTGAGCAGATAGCTGATAATCATTTGTGCATACAACGGAAAGAAAAGTTCTTTGGGTACAAAGCTGAGCAGATGTGCTCATCTGTGTCACAAGGGTGTTTTACTCTGAGTGGAACCAGACAATCCTGTGCCATCTCCTAAAAAATGAAATATTTAGGCAAACCAGGGTGAGACTAAAGGAATCTTAACTTAAACATCTTTTTTCTGTAACCTTTTCTGAATGTATATTTTTTTTTTAATTGTTTCCCAAACAATAAGTCTTACAGACATTCTTGAATCAAACTTATGAAAGAATTGATTTCCATTTGTCACACTTGTAGAAACTTTGAGAGAACAATATTTGCACAAGTTTAAGTTAGTGTGTTTGTGTAAATTATTGACTTGGTACTCAGTAAAACTTCATTTGTTTGTTTGTATGCTTTAGCAGAACTTGTAGGTGGTGCTCTGCTAGGGCCAAAATAGCATATGGGTAGGCAAATATCAGACCAAATCCTACTGTGATTTGCCTAACTACATACTTTAACAGGTGCGCTTCTGTTGCATGTGGCATTTGATATATTTGTGTATCTGCAAATATAATTTAACTGTAAATTATGAATTTTTTTGTTTGGGATAAGGAGGCATTATTCCCAGACTCCAATGTTTTGCTCTGCTTTACAGCTTAGTATTCATGTCATGGTTCAGTGATGCAACAGTGAATGCTAAGCCAAGTTCAATTTGTACACCTGCATGCTGATGACTGGATTTTTAATAAAGACATTAAGGAATGGAGAGTTTGTTTTTATTTAAAATCATGGTGTAAAGTTTAAAAGTTGGATCAGTGCTGTACAGTTTTACATTTACTGTACAAATGAAAAATACAGAAGTCTTTATTTAAAAGCCCAGTGTACTTTTGTGGCTGCTACAGAACAAGCTTACTAAACAGAAATCTTGGCAAACCCAGTATGAATGGAAAAAAATAATGAAAAGTTCTAGGGGAGAACACCACTTGAAACAGCATGCACTAAGCTGAGAAGTACCTGTGCTAAAGTTTTGTTACATAGACAAACAAAATTACAAAAGTTACTTTAAGATGAGAGGAAAAAATGTGATTCCTGTATATGTGGAAATTATTAAAGGCAATTGTAGCAGCTCAGTTTGTTACACGCTAGTATTTTCTTGTGCTACCTAATCTGCACTGCTTTACCTGCTACAGCTGCATGCTAGCCTGGCTTTCTACTGCATGTGCTTTTCAACCCATTGCTACTGATTCTGCTTATGCAGCTGGCTGTGTGAGTAGCAGCAGCAGGACTGCGGTGCTTTGGGGCACTGGTCTTGTATGCACACAGCTAATAAAACCGTTATATGCCAGTTTTCATACTGTATAATTGGTTTGGTGAGCTGTTTGGATTTCCCAAAGTGGTAGTCACGTGCAAGTGGTGTTAATGAATCTGCTTAAGTTACTAAACATGAAAAATGGGCTAGATGCTATGCATGATGCAAATGCAAGAACAGTTTCTCTTGCATAATCTCTGAAGTAATATCTACTGGATACTGTGAAGACGGCCACTTAGTTACCTTATTTAACAGATTTTAAAACAAGAAAAACCACCACAAACTTTCTTTCCTTTAAGAGCATGAGCTTTCCCTCTCTGTTTCAAGACCCTATTTCAATTTCATGCATCTGAACAGGGGAGGTCATCTATAATTTGGGCATCTTTGATGAAAACCATAGAAATGGGTCTGAGAGAGATTTTGGTGAACCTGAACAACAGGAGTTAACATGTTGCTGAAATACATTACAAGAATCTGTTCTCTGCCCAAGCTGACTTTCATTTTTGCTCTAGTTTATGGTAGAAAACCACTCCCCCTGGACTGTGTAGTTTTGAAAACAAAACCTCAAAATAACCTTTGCCCATAAATACCTGTATTTAGATTCCAACCTTGCAGCCAGGTTGCCTCTGCATAGTCATACTTGCATCCGTTCAGAGCTCTGTGATAAAGGTCTTTCACTTACAAACCCATGTCAGAACTTAAAAATGTTTAAAGTTAAAGACTCTACATTAAAGTAAATTAGTATGTAATGTTGGGTTTAACAGTAGGTGCAATGAAAGATGCAATTTTACAGGGTTTTTCCCCAAGCCGTGCCAAAAGCTTTCACTTTGGTTAAAGTTTATTATCTCTGTTCAGATTTTTAACAAAGATTACAGTAAATGTATTTTGAACTCAGAACAGGAATGAAGTGTAACAGGATATTTGAATCCATTGACTTTCTCGTTACAGTAATGACTGTATGACTCTTACAACTATCTCCTGATGGGTTAAAATAATTTCAGTAGCAAAAGTTCCTTACTCAGACTCACATTTGGGTAAATGCTGACACTCTTT